GTTGGGTCCGTCTAGGACATGTGTACCCAATATAAAAGACCATCCTAATACATTTTACGTGCTACTTGTGCATATGTTTGTTTTTCCTTGCTCGTTGACCAGTTTCTAGAGTAGAGAAAGAAAATCAAGAAACAAAAACCAAGAGTGAGGTAGGGGAGAGAAAATTTACCCGATTTCTGGAAAATTCAGGTATTTAAAAAATCCCGAAACTCTGCAAATATTTTGAATAAAAGAGAGAAAAAGAAAAGTCATTTCAAAATGAGCCAGTATTTTCAAAAGTCATATTTTCCTGTTGTGTCAAAACTGACCGAACTACGTGTGTCTGATTCTTACCAGATGTGAGATACGTAGGCAAACCTCATCGGTTCCGGCCCCAAATTTTCAAAAAAATTCAAAAATATTTTCCTTTTCCTTAATTCCTTCTTAGAATTGTTTCCTTAGAAAATAAAAAAAAATTAAATCCAAAAATATTTTTCTTCTTTTCCGAAGTCTTTCATTCGAAAAAAAATAAGAAAAAAATTCAAATAAAATCCAAAAATATTTTCTTTCTTGTTTAGAAGTCTTTCTTTTGAAAATTTCGAATAAAAAAAGAGAAAAAGTTCAAAGTCCAAAATTTTTTTCTTGTTAGAAGCTTTTTGTGGTATGATTTTCAAAAAGAAAAAAAATGTTGAATAAATTAGAAAAAAAAAGTTAGCTCATTTACCTTGTACCTGGTATTCCTGAACTACGTAATGATCTGATTAATGTCGCGTCATAATACATAGGTAATATCCATCGAATTCGATCATAGCCATTAAATAAACCGAGTGAAAAAAAACGAATGAAAAAGAAAGAAAGGAGTGACAAAAATAACATAGAAAAATAAAGAGTGAAAAACAACCAAAAAAAGGAAAGCAAGAGAGAAAAAATAATCCAAAAAGAGTGCCAGAAAGGGAAATGATAGAGGTATAGAATGGAAAGGGACATTTAAAAGCCGGGACGAAACAAACAACCGTTCAAACGCATGGTAAAAGTGTTTAACTGTTTAGGTGCATTGCATTCCGACGTACGATTTCCTATCTGTTAAATGTGTCAAAACAAACAAGGTTGTTGTGTGTGCAAATTAGCCAGGTTGTATTTAGGTGGTTGGTTTTGTTGGAAATCTAGCTTCTCATCCATACTTCACAAGATCTAAAGGCAAGGTTCCTATGACCTCCGAAAGTCGTCTACCATTATCGATCCTTAGGATAGCCCATCATCGACTATTCCACAACCAGAATCAGCAACTGCTGAAGAGAATAGGATATTGCGTCTCTGCATGTTAGAAATTGGGATGCCTGGTCTAATGGTAGGGAACCTCCGAGTGCAATCCCTGGGTTCCCTGAGTTGATCCCAAGGTCAGTTGGGGCTACCAATATCCCTGTCTCCAACCCATTCATCCCATGCGAGTACCCTCCAATACCGTCTAACAGTCCTGGCATGCCTTCTGTGGTTCGCCCACAAGCGCCGGTTTCAAAGGCACCACAAGCAATATTCTCTACAGCACCAGTCTGCACCATAGCACAACCAACTATACCACGGCCGTATGTTGAGCCTCCAACGTTCACCTTTTAGGGTCCACAGCTTTAACCAGAAATAACATATGTGACCCCTTATTCATTTACTCAACCACCGCAATATGACTTCTCGGTGGAGCAAGAAAAGGTTGTCAAGAATCCCGAGGAAGAGGAAATGGCTCGGAAGATGAAAAGCCCGAAACAAATCCTGAAAAACATGCAAGGCCTAAGTGGCCAAAAGAGTGTCTCGTACTTCAACCTGTGCATGTTTCCCCATGTTCACTTGCCAGCTAGCTTCAAGATGCCAAAATTCGAAAAGTACGATGGGCACGGAGACCCGATTGCTCACTTGAAAAGATACTGTAACCAGCTGAGAGGCGTTGGTGGAAAAGAGGAGCCGTTAATGGCCTATTTTGGAGAAAGTCTCACCGGAATTGCTTCTGAGTGGTACAACGATCAAGAAATTACTCATTGGCACGTGTGGGACGATTTGGCCTAACCGCCAGCTCCAGTATAATGTTGACAACGCTCCCGACAGAAACTCTTTGTCCAATTTGAAAATGAAAATAGCAGAAAGCTTCCGTGAATATGCTGTCAAATGGTGCGAGCAAGCCACCAGGATAAAGCCTGGAATGGACGAAGATGAAATGGTTACGGTCTTCCTACAGGCCCAAGAGGCGGACTATTTCAAGAACATGATGTCTGCTATGGGTAGATCGTTCACTGAGGCTATCAAAATTGAGGAGATGGTCGAAAATGGTTTGAAAACGGGCCGACTCTTGAGTCAAGCTGCCTTTAAGGCCACATCACAGGCCGTTCAGAATGGTTCGGGGGGTTTGATGAACAAAAATGGGAGAGAAGAGGGAGACATGATGGTTTAGAGCTCGAGGGTGGCCCGCAGGTCATTCAACCAATCATATATGCTTCCTAAGGTCCCACAACACTATTATCCCCATCAAAATGCTGCTTATGCCATGGAACCACCTCCCTATGTGGTGATGAATGTGCAACCTTACATGCGGCCACAACATTATACACAAAACCGAGCTCCACCTCGCAGAAATTCCCGTCCCTACCAAGCTCCATATAATCCCCAACCAAATGTTCCCCAATACAATCCTCACCCAGGAGAGTCCCTCAGAAGGAATCAGTTCACCCCTATTGGTGAATCGTATTCAAGTTTGTTTCAAAAACTAATCGGGCTAGGTCTGCTGCAGCCAGTGGCCCCAAACCGGCCAAACCACGAGTCCCCCTCGCAGCAAGCTGATGCTAGATATGAATACCACTCTGGAGAAGTGGGACATGATACAAAGGACTGTTGGACCCTCAAAAGGCCAGTTGAAGAATTGATGATCTAGCATTGAAAGCCATAATAGCCATTTCCGCGACAGAAGAGAACCCAAAAAATAGGCGCCAAACCTGAAAAGTTCTCTATCAGACGGGAGTCCCGGTAGTTCAGTCTTTCCATCTCTTCTGTATTACGAGTTATTTCAGGGTGTAACTCGAATGTTTTACTTTATTGTCTTTTAATTCTGATGTAATCCCTCATATCTTCAATTCACTGAAATGGAATCAATATTTCATCATCCATAAATGTCTCTTTTTCTTTTCAATTCTAATAATGCAGACTTAAATAACATGACATGCTTGCGGACGTTTTGCCCAGATCCTAAAATGCTGTCTAACTTTGAAATAATGAATCAAGAGCCAGAATATGATGAAGATGAGGCTTTTAGGGAAATAAATCGAGAATTGGAACAATTTGAGAATAAGCCTAAGCCAGACTTAAATGAAACCGAGCTAGTCAATTTGGCCAGTTCAGAAGAGATTCGAGAAACCATGATAAGCATTCACGCTTATGAAAGAACTAGAGATGTCTTGATCCAGCATTTGTTTGAATTCAAAGATGTGTTTTCATGGTCTTATGATAATATGCCAGGGCTGAGCGTTGATTTGGTGGTACATAAATTGCCTATCTATCCCGGTTATCCACCAGTCCAACAGAAGCAAAGAAAATTCAAAACTGACATCGGTGATAAGATCAAGGAAGAAGTCACCAAACAACTGAAGGCTGGTATGATTCGAGTGGTCCGATACACCACCTGGCTGGCTAACGTGGTTCCAGTGCTGAAGAAAGATGGAAAAACCTGAGTGTGTGTTGATTACCGGGATTTGAACAAGGCAAAGTCCCAAGGACAACTTTCCACTGCCAAACATCCATATTCTTGTTTACTACTGTGCTAAACATGAAATACAGTCTTTCGTGGATTGTTATGCTGGGTATCACCATGTTCTGATGGATGAAGAAGACGCAGAAAAGACTGCTTTCACCACACCTTGGGTCACTTGCTGTTACAGGGTCATGCCATTTGGTCTGAAAAATGCCAGGGCAACTTATATGAGAACTATGACTGCCATCTTCCATGACATGATGCATCAGGAGATTAAGGTATATGTGGATGATGTGATCATTAAATCCAGAACGCAAGAAGACCATGTGTGAGATCTGAAAAAATTCTTTGAGCTTCTGTGCAGGTATGAATTGAAATTGAACCCAGCTAAATGTGTATTCAGAGTTCTGTTTGGGAAACTTCTGGGGTTTATAGTCAGTCGGAGGGGTATCGAGTTAGATCCAACAAAGATAAAGTCTATTCGGGACTTTCCACCTCCGAAAAGTAAGAAAAAGTTCATGAGTCTGCTAAGGAGGCTGAATTACATCAGCAGATTCATCGCTCAGCTTATTACCACTTATGAGACCATATTCAAGTTGTTAAAAAAAGACGCGGCAATCAAATGGACAAACGAGTGTCAAGAAGCTTTTGATAAAATCAAAGAATATCTGTCAAATCCGCAAGTGTTGGTTCCACCCGAGCCAAGAAGACCTTTGTTCTTATACCTGACAGTCCTGGAGAATTCTTTTAGCTGTGTGCTGGGGCAACGCGATGTGACCGAGAAGAGAGAATAAGTCATATACTATCTGAGCAAGAAGTTCACCAGTTATGAAGCCAAGTACACTTTGTTGGAAAGAACTTGTTGTGCCCTAACTTGGGTCCCCCAAAAGCTCAGACATTACTTGCTGGCTTACACAACATATCTCATAACCAGGATAGATCCTTTGAAGTATATATATTCCAGAAGCCAATGCCTACTGGAAGGTTAGCAAAATGGTAGATCTTGCTCTTTGAGTTTGACATTGTCTATGTCACTCGCACGACGATGAAAGCCCAAGCATTGGCGGATCATCTAGCCGAGAACCCAGCCGATGATGAATACCAACCCCTAAGCACTTACTTTCCGGATGAGGAAGTAAACTTGGTTGAAGTAATTTCAGAGAACACTGATGCCTAGAAAATGTTCTTTGATGGGGCCGTAAACGCAGGTCAGCACTATCCGGCCACAACCCGTCTTTGATATTTCTGTACAAACAACACTGCCGAGTATGAAGCCTACATCATGGGCCTAAACATGGCAGTTGATCTGGATGTAAAGGAATTATTAATCATGGGGAATTCTGATTTGATCATTTGGCAAGCCCAAGGTGAGTGGGAAACTCGAGGCATCAAACTCCTCCATACAGGCAACATGTGGAAGATCTCAGGAAACAGTTCAAGTCCATCGAGTTCAGGTATATTCCTCGATTCCACAATGAGCTAGCTGAAGCACTAGCTACTTTGGCCTCAATGCTGCCGCACCCGGGTAATGTTCATATTGACCCGCTGGAAATCCAAGTTCGAGAAAGGCATGGTTATTGTAACGCAATTGAAATGGAGCCAGATGTCCAGCCATGGTATCATGATATCAAAAGGTTTTTGAAAACAAAAATATATCTTGAGCAGGCCAGTGGAGATCAAAAGAGAACTATTAGAAGGCTTGCAACCAGTTTCTTTTTTAGTTGAGAGGTCCTATACAAAAGAACTCCAGATTTGGACCTTTTGAGGTGCGTAGATTCCCAAGAAGCTGAAAAGATCATGAATGAAGTGCATTCGGGAGTATGTGGGCCTCACATGAGCGGGTATGTCCTTGCAAGAAAAATACCGAGAAGGTTATTACTGGATGACAATGGAAAAAGATTGTTTCAGTTTCGTCTAGAAATGCCATCAGTGCCAGATACACGGTGACCTGATTCATGCACCGCCTTCAAAGCTACATCCTATGTCAGTGCCTTGACTGTTCGTTGCTTAGGGCATGGATGTTATTTGGCAATCGAGCCGAAAGCATCAAATATGCACAGATTCATCTTGGTTGCCATTGATTATTTCACAAAGTGGGTCGAAGCAGTCACTTTCAAAAGCCGTCACCAAGAAAGCAGTGGTGGACTTCGTGCATTCCAACATTATTTGTCATTTTAGTATTCCTAAAACTATCATTACGGATAATGCTACAAATATGAAAAACCACTTAATGAGGGAGGTATGCGAACATTTAAAATTATGCATCGTAATTCTACCCCTTATCGGCCCAAAGCTAATGGCGTCGTTGAAGCTGCAAACAAGAACATCAAGAAGATCCTCATAAAAATGGTTCAGGGTTCTAGACAATGGCATGAAAAGTTGCCCTTTGCACTATTGTGATATCGCACAACTGTGCGCACATTAGTTGGGGCCACCCCCTACTTATTTGTTTATGGCACTGAAGCCGTAATACCTGCAGAAGTTGAGATTCCCTCTCTTCGGATCATTGTTGAAGCCGAGATCGAGGATGATGAATGGGTCAAAACCCGGTTAGAACAATTAACTACATTGATGAAAAGCGGATGGTCGCAGTTGTCCACGGGCAGTTGTACCAACAAAGAATGGCTCGTGCCTACAACAAGAAAGTGCAGCCTAGAAAATTCGAAGTGGGGCAACTCGTTCTGAGACGTATTCTCCCGAATCATGAAGAAACCAAAGGAAATTTTCTCCAAATTGGAAAGGTCCGTACATTATAAGAAGAATGTTGTCGAAGGGAGTGCTGTATTTGGGAGCCATCGAAGGAGATGTCCCCGAGTCAGCTGTCAATGCAGATGCGGTCAAAAGGTATTATGTTTGACCCTTTTTTACAAGCTTTAGTATGCTCCGATTGGGATGACGAAGGCCTTTTTGCTTGCTACCCAAACACTACCAATCCTTTGTAAACCCTTTGAGTCGCTTCCCTTTTCTTTGATTACCCTCTTTGGAACCTGAAAGTTATTATAAAAAAAAATCAAAAATGAAAAGAAAAAGAAACAAAAGAAATAGAAAGACAATAGAAAATCAAAAACAAAGTTCATTGAACTAAGTTCGACTTGATTCTAAAAGGATACATAGGCAGCCTCTCTCTGGGGTTTAGTCACATCAAAATAAAAATCCACATTCCCCCAAAACGTTGAAACTAGGGCAGATGTTATAATGGTTCGGCGATTGTTTCGCCTGAAAGGTTCCAAAGTTATAATTCAATCCAAATCCTTTTTACCCAAATCCTTTTCAAGTCCTTCTAATCAATCAACGAGAATGTTCAAGAATTAGAGGATACAGTCACTTGGATCTGATACAACAAAAATGAGAGAAATAAAATGAGAGAGTCTTGTTGGTGAAAACCCTCACGGGCTCGTAAGGTGATGGTGAGTAAAGAAACCAAAATGAGAGAGTCTTGCTAGTGAAAACTCGCAAAGAGCACTATAAGGCGATGGTGAGAAGAGAAATGAGAGAAGTTAGCTGGTGAAAACCCGCAAAGGGCACTACTGATCAAAAAATGGATTTTCAAAGCCATTGGTATTGACAGTCCTGAGCACACTTTCTCGATTTCGAGGCAAAAGATGTGATGAATTTCTGTGAGTCGGATTGTTTGCACGGATCAGGAATCTAGTCCAAAAGGCATGTCATGTTCATTGAAGTCCGTAGGTACTCCAGATAAGTCCTTATTTCCTTTCCCCTAAAGGGATACCTCTTGTCTAAAATTTATTTTCCATTCCATCATTTTAAAATTTAGAAAAGCCAAAGGTTCTCCGGGGCCAGAAGTGAAATCGATATTCAGGAAACAACCAGTTGCAGTTAAAAGTATCATCGAAGAAGCCGGGCCGAGATCAGGTGACTGAAACATTTAAGGACACAAAACCAGTCACTATTTCAAACTAACAATTGTTCTTTGTTTGAAAAAAAGGAAACATTTGCAATCCAAAAGCAACCTTGCAAGAAACAGGTGCAACACAAAAAAAAAAGAAAAAAGAAAAAGAAACTGCACGGGAGCAAGAAACCGCTCTGCAGCAGCAACAACTCCAAAACGGAAGTCTTCTCCAATTTCTTTCCAGCATTTTTCTCATTCTCTAAATAAATAAATAAATAAAAAAAGTGTTCAAAATCATGGCAGTATAGGGTACACCAATCCCTAGCTGCGTCTTTCAAAATAGGGTCTCCACTCCCTAGTTGATTTTATTTTAGACATAGGGTCTCCTCTCCCTAGTAGATTTTATTTTAGACATAGGATCTCCACTCGTTAGTCTTCTTTTCCAACATAGGGTCTCCACTCCCTAGTTGATGTTATTTCAGACATAGGGCCTCCACTCCCTAGTCTTCGTTTCCAACATAGGGTCTCCACTCCCTAGTTTCTTTTCTAACATAAAGTCTCCACTCCCTAGTTGATTTTATTTTAGACATATGGTCACCACTCCCTAGTGTCTTTCCAACACAGTGTCTCCACTCCCTAGTTGCTTTTATTTTAGACATAGGGTCTCCACTCGCTAGTCTTCTTTTCCAACATAGGGTCTCCACTCCCTAGTTGATGTTATTTTAGACATAGGGTTTCCACTCCCTAGTCTTATTTTGCAACATAGGTTCTCCACTCCTTAGTTGATTTTATTTTAGACATAGGGTCTCCACTAGCCAGTGTTCTTTTCCAACATAAGGTCTCCACTCCCTAGTTGATGTTATTTTTCACATAAGGTCTCTAATACCTAGTCTCTATTCCAACATAGGGTCTCAGCTCCCTAGTTGATTTTATATTAGACATATCGTCTCCACTCCCTTGTCTCTTTTCCAACATAGGGTCTCCACTCCCTAGTTTATTTTATTTTAGACATAGGGTCTCCACTCCCTTGTCTTCTTTTACAACATAGAGTTTCCACTCCCTAGTTGATGTTATTTTAGACATAGGGTCTCCACTCCATAGTCTTCTTTTCTAACATAGGGTCTCCACTCTCTAGTGATAGTACCAGTTGGATATGCCATTGTGTGCATGAGGAAGGCATCAGATGGTTTGTGGGTTTTGAGGCAACATGGTCTCGTGAAATGGGGTCATTCAGGATGAATGGAGGTTGAGTTTGTTATATTTTTGAATGGAACTATTACTATTTCCATGGCAAGTTATAAGTAAATTAGAAGAAGTCAGATCGGTTAGTAATGGTTGAATCGGCATGATGGTGGAAATAATCAATTCCTTCAGCATGTTAAGTTATGAATGTGATTTGTGGCGGTACGTATGAGGGTTGAAAGCAACCCTAATTTGATTGGTTTGGAAAGTATTTGATTCTAATGGCCTTGTTGTGTAAATGGATTTCCGGAAGAGTTATGACGGTTTAGATCACGACTTGAGGATTGTATTTTCGGCGGTTATCAGAATTCAGTTGCGTGTTACAACGGTTCTTCTGAAATGAGTTAAGTGAAAGGTCTGTAGCCAATGAAGTGTTTTATCACCACCAGTAGTTCAATGGTTATGGTGAATGCGTGTATCACTGAATAGCGGTATGATAAGTACCGTGAGCAGCATGGGGACTGAGAGTTGTAGGTCAAGGTTGCGATTCGGTGTTGATAGATTGTCACGAGCTCGGATGAGCAGGGGGTGTATTCAGATGTTAAGAGCAAGTTGACACTTTTGTTTAATGTCACCTGACAATGATGTTTGGTGGAAGAGACTTTGTGTACTGACTCGCGGATTTTTGATTTGCCTTACAGAATTGGAATGATTTGCCTTACAGAATTGGAACGATTTGACTCGCGAACTTTTCTACCTGAGCGGAAGGTTGTAAGAGCGTGCCCCACGGAAAGATTAGTATAAGTGTGACATGTTAGTCACTTGATTATTAAAGATTGAAACCAAGTGTGGGATTATGGTACTATCGCTAATGTGAGAGAGTTTATACCTGAGGGGTATTCCATTCCTTGGATTGTGGACCGCGCGAGTTTGTTTCGGATTTGACGGCTGTTCTTGGGTGTAATGAAAAAAGGGGTATTGTGGGTCCTTGAAAGGTTATTAGCCCAGTGCGGGACGATCAGAATCGGTTGAGGTCCATGGATAGATCTAAATGTTAATGTGTGCTCTATATCAGGCCGGATATGTTCGTTTCAGCACAGCGTTGCTTATGGAAGAGTCTTAGCTTTGGATGTTATTTCTATCGTCAGCTATTCCATGTAATACTTTATTGTTCCACGTGGGTTGTGAGGCAGTGTTACACCCCATATACTACTAGGCGTGCCCAATAGTTATTTTATTAATAATAGAAAAGAAAAGCACAACACATAGGAAAAGTACAAATAAGAGGGACAATAGCACTAGTAGTGTTTTCTGAATGCCTTGGCTATATAATCACTCCTTTGCGCCTCACATTCCCTTATGATGGTAGTCTCATGTAGAGGATCATGGATCTGCCGGTAAAGTCTCACGAGGGCATATAATCTCATAGCCATTTGGATGTCTTTCCAAAGGCATAGGACATGAGCAACCACATACTGGGCCTAACCTTACCTTACAAATCCTATTGAGGCATAAATATCCTCGCCTACTAAGAAGCATGTAAAAAGAAAGAGCTAGAGAGCACTAAATATTTTATGATCATCACAGAGTTTATAACATACTCCGTGATGATATTACAAATGACTATACTAATAAAATGGTAAAATAAGATGTAGGAATTTGATTCTTGTCCCTTGTTGCCCAAACTTGTAAC